ACTCTTTCTTGTTTCTGCTGTGTGAATCTGCAAACGATTGTCTCATTACATCAGGATCTGTGAATTTCCAGCAGCTGTGAATGTAAAATAATTCTATACAACTCTGACAGTGGGGTATGGAAACATAATAAGTTATTACTTCTAGATGCTGTCAAGCATTCCCAAATGTGGAACATTTTTCAGCTACATATATTTTAAATCAACACTATGGTATAGTTCTACTGCAGAGCAGAGAAGTTGAAAGAAATGAAATATACTGTAACTTACGGGAAGGCGTCAGTGTGCTCTAACAGTTAACTCATGCCTCTGACTACAAGCTAGCCAGGATCCCAGGATCTCTTCCTGCGTTTGCCACTCACATATTTTGCAACCTGGGCCAAATCACTTAGGACCAGATTCTGATATCCTTATGCTATAGAAATAGGAAAATGGGTTTTACCATTTTGGAATATTAATGGACTTACTATGAGAAACCCCATGGGACTCCAGTGGAATGAAAATGCTGCTCAGTATGAGTAAAGCAGTAAGGCCCAGCTCCTGACATCTCTAATTTCTCAGTTTACTCATCTGTAAAAACCCATCTAGTACTATTTGCTAGTCTTTTGGAGATAGTGTGAGGCTTAATTAATTTTTATAAAGTATTTAAGTTAAGAGATGCTGTAATTTTCACAGTAGTGTGTTGCTGTTGGAAACACAAGAATGCCAGACAAGACAGCATGCAAGTACAGTGAAACCTGTCTCAGATGGAATCACGGGGGACCAGGAAAAAGTTCCAGCTTAAATAGTTTTTTATCTTATAGGGAGAGTTTCCCAGCCCTGGTGCTCTCTGCTTCCTCTTTCTGCTCCATGCTTTCTGCTGTGTCCCAGCCTCTCTGCTCCATGATTTCTTCCTGTCTCTCAGCTTCCAACCCAGCCCTTTGGCCCCCTGCTTACACTATGTATGCAAACACCTGATAGGTAATTATTTTCCATGATATACAGGGTGATTCCACAAATAGGCCCCACATTTCCTTTCCATTTCTTCATTGGCTGTTTTCCATTTTATATACACTAACATTACTTAATTCCCTGTAAGGCATACTGCGACTGTAGAAACTTTCCAGCTTGAGCAGGTTTCCAGCTTTTACAGATTCCATCTTAGACAGGTTTCAATTTATTTGGAGTTGAGTATTATACTAGGCAGACTACATTCTGATTTTCAAGTAAGGAGAAGAGTCTCTTATTCTAAGATGGCAAATGCAACATTGATTAAAAGAAATTCACTTCAATTGGATAAACTAAAAACTTTTAAAGAATATCAAGAAGAGAGGAAAAAAACCCCTCCAGTTGATGTGTTGCTGTGCTGGGAAGAACAGTGTAAAAAGAAACTGGCTATAGAGAGAACGTTATTTAAAGAGGCTGTTTTGATAGGTGGAAAACTAGTACAGTAAAAGCCCTGGTTTCCGGCATTCTATTAACTGGAATTCCCTGCCGGCCGGCTGGATGCAGGAGAACGGTAGGGGAAGCTCGCACCTGGTGGCCACTACCACCATCCACCACTCTGCACTGCCGCCGCTCTGCATCCAGCTGAAATGTCCACTCTGCGCTGCTGCTGCTCCGCATCTGGCCGCGACTCCCCCCCACCCCCAACTCTGCATCCAGCCAAAAACTGTCAGCCTCAGGTAGCTGGAAATTTTAGATACCTGGCACCCCCCCATTCCCCACTCATGCCAGATAACAGGGCTTTTACTGTACAACATTGCCTAGTGGGGTGATAATTTTTTCACAGGACCTTGGCAGAGTAATTTCTTTGTCCTTGTTTGTTTCTAAGTCTTAGAAGCGAATTCCCCTCCCCCCCCTCCCAAAAAAACCCCCAAACCAAAAACCAAACCAAACAAAACAATGCAGTCCCTCTTTCCTGGCTATACAGAGCTGATTAAACTGAAGCTATCTTTTAGACACTGTGCTAGATGCATCTCCCAACCAACTGACACCACTGGAGAAACACCTCTGTTTAATAGACGTTGGATATTTTGTTAATACCAGTTGCCCACCGCTTTTGAGGCCTGAGAGAAATGTGGACGTCATTATATCACTTGATTACAGTTTGGGCGGGTTCTTCAAGGTGAGAACATTCATATCCTCTATTGCTTGTTGTCCTAGTAAGCACCTTTTTCAGACAAAGCTGTTTAGAGACTCATCCAGTGTCTGCCTTAACTCTGGGCTATTGACTTTTCTGTGGCTCTCAGTCTCTGATGCCTTTTTTTTCTGAGATCCATTAAGTCTTAGGTTTGTCATATTTCAGAACAAGAAATGTTTTGGAGCCTAGAAAAGTGTTTATGATAAGAAAGCCATGTTCCAGCAAGATCTACTGAAATACCAATAAATGCCAAGATCTACCAAAATGCCAATAAAAATTACATTGAAGAGATTTAATATTTTAATGAGGTTTACCCATCCTTATTTGCAATGAGGTCTAGAGCCACAAAAGGAATTCAGTTCCCTGTATTATGTTCGGGAAGAAGAAGGCTTCTAAGCCAGAATGCTTTGTGGGGAGCTACCTAAACGAGTCAATAAAAAAAAGGTGGCGGGCATGATGTGCCCTGGTCCTCTCTGAGACCTCGGCTCTGTACTCAGGACTGCAGGGTGGCACCTCCCTTCACCAGGAATTCATAGGCTTGAAATCTCTCCTGGAATTAAACACCCAAGCCCCTTAGGACACAAAATGAGGAAGGATCTTGTGTTATCCCATAGCTAGAGGGCTCCCTTAGACTGTGGAAAATGCCAGTGTGAGGAGATTCAAACCCACATCTTCTGCTTCCCGGGAGTGTCCTAAACAACAGGGCTCTCATTCTCTTCTGTTGAAGCTGTTCCAGTTTGCATAAAATAATTCAAGTGCATTGGGTTAGAGAGGGGGCAGTGGTGAAGGTAACTCTGGGTGTGTCTGCCTGTGATGGTATTGTGACGTAGTGTTTGTGTGTGTCTACACATGACCAGCAGCTACGTCACCGTAGTGGCGTGCTCCCCTGGGATAGTGTGCTGTTACGGTAAAATAGCTGCTAAAAATAACTGCGTGCCACATATACAATGCAGTACGGGCTATACCAATTAGATGCAAACCAAAGTACTTAATTGGAAGTACTAAATCATGGAGCAGTAACAATGTCACCATAGACGCACCCTTTAACACCTACTGGCTAAGGCACTCGTGTGGGAAGTGAGACCTGCGTTCTAGTCCCTGCTCCAGTGAATACTTACCATAGTTAATATTTCATTCCTTAATGGTGTTTTATTCAGGAGACATATAAATTATTTATTTCCTAGACAGCACTAGCTTTCAGTTCATATTAATTTTAATCTATAGGGCTTTTTGTGGAATAAGTTATATGCACTTTAAAGATTTATACCCCAGTCTTGTGTTTCCACTCAGCCACCAGGTTGGAAGTCAAACTAATACCAAATGCTTTGGAAATTTCCATCCCCAAGCATTAATAAGGCAGAGACTTTTATCCAGACATCTGATGTTGTTTGCCTCATATCCTGTGCTCTGTCTCATATCTAAAAATATAGATATTTTTAATGTAACTCAGTGTGAACTATTATTACTTCAGGAAATCTGCATTCCAGTCTTTTCTTTTGGATCTAATTGTTCTTAATCTGTGTCCATCCAGCAATTACAGAAGATAGAAAAATATTGCAAAGTCCAAAAAATCCCGTTCCCCAAAATTGAGGTGAGTGAGGAAGATCAGAAGAACCCGAAGGAGTGTTACATATTTTCAGATGCAGAGAACCCCAGAGCTCCCATACTGATCCATTTCCCTCTGGTGAATGACACGTTTAAGGAATACAAGGAACCAGGTAAATTCACATAGTTGTCATTCAGTGGCTGAATGAATACCTCCCTGTTTTAATGTCATTTACCGATGAACTATCACATAAAAGTGGTATTTAAGACAGCCCAGTTTGAACAGTTGAGCAGACCTGGGGATGCTGTTGATGGTGAATAGCAAAAGAGATCAGGGTAAATGATGGTCCATGGGGCAGATTCTAGCTTTTAAAACACAAACTGTGTTGTAGACAGCTTAAGGGCAGGGAGTGGGGGGAGAGCAGAGAGGCTAGGTACAGACATTCAAAAAGCTTGAGGAAGAATCACTCTAAGTTATGCGGTTTTTTGCAATTGGCATAGTTTAGATTGGAAGCGAACAGAACACACATTCACCCTTGGGCAGCAGGAGGGAAGGGTGTTTGCAAATCTTAGACTGGTTTAAAAATGGAAGAACCTGGTCTGTGTGTGCCAAACTTCTGTTCTGTTGCATATATGCTCTGCTTTTCAATCGCTTATGCCAGTAAAAGTGTAATGTCTGTACCTGGCCTGAGGGAAAAGACATTTTGGCTGGTTCAGGCAGAATTCTTCTTGAGACTAAGGGGAAGAACACAATCTAGTAGCAGCTCTGCCAACCCTTAAATAGGTACATATGCCCTAGGCCAGTTCCACTCATGCCCTGGCCTTTCTTCATCTACTTGGAAACTGGCAATGGGATTTGAACCAGTTGGGAAACAGAAGCTTTTCCCACAGGGGCCAACTGTAATCTTGGTGGTGAGAACTGTCAGGCAGTGCTTAGGGTATTGCTTGCCCCCAAGAAGATCATGAGACTGGCAGGTTTAGGGTAGAGTAGGCATGACCAGCACAATCCTGTCTAACAACTCAGTCAACGGTAGTAAGCTAGTGACTTGCAGGATTTTTTTATTCAAGTTATTCTAAAAATAACCAGAACAGTAAATCAGAAATCAGAGTTAATGTAGTGTTAAAGTTTTCAGAAATAAGGAGTTTAAAAATCAGGGGACATTTATACATGTATCTTTTTGTCCCGAGACATGCTGGAGATCCACTGCTTGCAGTTGTATAAGTGGTGAAATATGTGTCAGCACGCAGAAAATGGCAGTGGTGTGCTTTTGAACTAAAGCACCTCCAAGGTGTTTTAGTTCAAAAGTGCACCACTACTATTTTCTTTCCACTGACACTCATTTTGCTACTTATATAACTGTATGCGTTGCGGTGCCAGGTGCTTTTTTACACGCATAAAGAAACAAAGGGTATATATAAGTGTGGCTGTGTTGCCTGGTCTGTATAGCTCAGGTTGTAAACAGACATCCTTGGAGTGGGATCAGCTGTGCCAGGATGTGTCCCAGCATGGCTAATCTGTTTCTCTGGATGACAGACATAGATTCATAGATGCTAGGGCTGGAAGGGACCTCAGAAGATCATTGAGTCTAGCCCCCTGCCCTAGTGGCAGGAAGTCACCAGGGATCATAGGATCCCAGCAAAATAAATATCCAAATGTCTCTTGAAGGCGTTCAGAGTAGGCGCTTGACCCACCTCCAGTGGCAGCCTATTCCAAACCTTGGGGGCTCGGACAGTAAAGAAATTCTTCCTTATGTCCAGCCTGAAACGGTCATGGAGGAGTTTGTGACCATTCGACTTTGTCATCATTTGGGGCGCTCTGGTGAACAGACGTTCTCCCAGATCCTGGTGAGCACCCCTGATAAACTTATAGGTGGCCACCAGATCACACCTGAGCCTGTGCTTTTCCAGGCTGAAGAGTCCCAGGGCTCTCAGCCTCTCATCATAAGGTCTGTTTTCTTGACCTTTGATCATGCGCGTGGCTCTTCTCTGGACTCTCTCAAGCTTCTCCACATCCTTTTTAAATTGTGGAGCCTAAAACTGGATGCAGTACTCCAGCTGCGGCCTCACCAAGGCTGAGTACAACAGGAGAATGACATCCTAGGATTTACTTGAGAAACATCTGTGGATGTAAGCCAGCATTTTGCTTGCTTTACTAGCCGCAGCATCACACTGAAGGCTCATGTTCATCTTGTGGTCAATCATGACCCCCAAATCCCTTTCATCTGTAGTGCTAACCAGCATAGCACTGCCGAGCCTGTAAGTGTGCTGCAGGTTTTTCCTCCCAAGTTGGAGAACCTTGCATTTTTCGGTGTTGAACATCATCAGGTTCTCATCCGCCCAATTCCTGAGCCTGTCAAGGTCAGCCTGGATCACCCTCCTGTCCTCAGGTGTGGATGGTTTACCCCTAAGTTTGGTATCATTGGCAAATTTGGCCAGTCTGCTTCTGACACCAGTGTCCACATCATTAATGAAGATGTTGAACAGTATGGGTCCAAGGACAGAGCCTTGGGGGACCCCACTGGTCACAGCACACCACGACAATTGTCTTCCATCAACCACCATCCTTTGGATCCTACCATGGAGCCAGTTCTTCAGCCAATGTGGTGAGGCCGAGGCCGAGGCTGCAGTTAGTTTTGCTAAGAGGTGATTATGGGATACCAGATTGAAGGCTTTTTTAAAGTCAAGATATACAATGTCAATCTCTTCTCCCTTGTCCAGGTGATAAGTCACCTGATCACAAAAGGAAATAAAATTGGTCAAGCAAGACCTACCCGCAACAAACCTGTGCTGGGTATCCCTCAGGATATTGCCATCAGCCAGTCTGTTAAGGATGGCCTCTTTGATAATTTTTTTCCAAGACCTTCCCTGGGATAGAGCTCAGGCTGATGGGCCTGTAGTTTGCCGGATCCACTTTCCTCCCTTTCTTGAAGATAGGCATGACATTGGCCTTCTTCCAATCTTCGGGCACTTCACCAGAGCGCCAGGAGTTCTTGAAGATCTGTGCCAGGGGCTGCGCTATGATGCTAGCCAGCTCCTTGAGTATCCTGGGGTGTAAACTGTCAGGGCTGGCTGACGTGAAGGTGTCCAGCCTCTCAAGGTGTTTTCACAAGGTCAGCATTTATGGAGGTCCCTCACCCAGGACCTCCCTGTCCCATAGTGGGCGGGGGGATCCCATGGGACTGGTGAAAAACTGACACAAAGTACCCATTTAGCAAGTTTGCTTTTTTCTGGGCATCAGTTGTCAGTTGTCCCATCTGGTTTAGCAGGGGTCCAACATTGCCCTTGTTTTTCCTTCGGCTCCCCACATATCTAAAAAGGACTTTTTATTGTCCTTGATATTTGTAGCTAGTTGGAGTTCCATTGCAGCCTTGGCTTTCCTGGTTTGCTCTCTGCCGGTCCAGACCTTTGCAGAGTTTTTCTTCTTGGTGGTGGATCCAGTCCTCCATCCTTTGTAGGTCTTTCTTTTAAGATGCAGGAGGTCTGCTAGTTCCCTGGACAGCCAAGGGGGCTGCTGTGCCCTTTTGCTGCCTTCCCTCCGAGATGGGATTGACTTTGCTTGTGCATCCAGGATTGCTCCCTTGAGGAGCAACCACCTATCCTGCACTGCCCTCCCCTTTTGGTTGTGGACCTTTAGGGCCTCACTGACAAGCCTCCTTAGCTTGTCAAAGTCAGCTTTCCTGAAGTCAAGAACTTCTGTATTACTGACTGACTTGCCAGCTTTACGGCGGATGGTGAAGGTGATCAGGAGATCAGGATGGTGAAGGTGACTAGCTTTATGGCAGATGGTGAAGGTGACATTGCCTGTTACCCCACAGGATTAGGCCCCTGTTGCTTCTGGGGCTTTGGGGCTTGATCCTGCAGGCCAGCTGCAAACAGGGGGACCCCAGGACCCTCCACTTGTAGATGTGTGCCCCAAGATGGAGCACACCAGCATGATACATGTGCCCAGGGATCCCTGGCAGGGGATGTCTAGGGTGCACCTTTGTAAGCAGGGAGGCACTGCTGGGGCCCAGTCCTACACACCCTAGAAATTCTTTCCTGCCATAAAGCAAACAGATGTTCACTGCAAAAAAGCAGCACCAATTTTTACCACCTCTTGCTGTGGCGAAAGTTTTGCTCATTTTTATGGCAGCACAAAGGCAATATCTGTGCTTGCCACTTTATTGGCACATATTATAAGTTAAGATTTCTATTTACTTAACAAGCAAATAGTGAAGAGATAATACCCTTGCTCAATTTGGCCAAAGGAATCACTTCTTTAGTGCCTTGGTGATGACTAGTGTAATTATTTAAAGATTAACTCATTCAGAGAGGCATTGTCTTCTGTAAACAGCAACCCATTTGGTTAGATGATAGCATCTGATGAAGTAGGTTGTTGCTTACAAACACTCATACCTCTCTGAACGAGCGAGTCTGTAAGGGACAACCCTGTCCTACTTTTTGCCTGACTTCAGACTAACACAGCTAACATTGTGCCTATGGGAATCATAGAGGCCAGCAGGAACTATTATGTTATTCAATGGAAAGCACCTCCTACTGTATATTCTTCAAAGTGCAAGTGGCTTAAATTCTGTTCATTGCCTCTTGAGTATCTACCTGTGGCATAGCCTGACTTTATCAGACAGCAGATTTTGACTTGTGGGACCTAATTTTTGTAGCAGTGTTGAGCACCAGTAGCCCCCACTAGTTTCTACATGTGGCATCTTTGAGAAGTAGGTCAATAGTGTTTGTTTAGGAGAGGACTATTCACCTAAATCTGCCCTCAAACTCGAGTCAATCTAGAGTAGCTACTAGAATGAGTGGAATTACTTCAAATTTATGGCTGTTTATTTGAGAGAAAAAAATTGGCCAACTGTCTGGCTGTATTTGTTCCTCCTTTCATTTTGTATTTTTCATCAAGTTTAAATCCAGCTTTTAAAAAGTATTGGTTGTAACCATGTTGATCTAAGGACATAGGCAGACAAGGTTAAGATATCAGATTTACCCAAAGAACCCTGTCAGCTTTTAAAAAAGGAGACTTTTTTCTTTAAACACTGATCAAAGAACTTCAAGTCCTTGTAGGTCTACAGGACATCAGTAGAGTTAGGCAGAATCCCCTTTGGCGCATCAGATTGCTCCATTTATCTTAGGCACATCTAATGATTAGCAAAATGTAATAGAAAAATGTTCCTTGCTTTTACCACTGAAAACCTATATCTCCCAGGTTCAAACTGTTCTAAGCCTTTTTAATTCAAAATTCAGTCCACAATGGTGACTTTTTCTTTCTTTGCAGGGGTGAAGCGCAATTTCTGTGAAATGCAAGAGGGCAAGGTAAATTTGGACAACTGCAAGTCACCATACTATCTTACAAAATTACAGTATTCTTCTGAAAATTTTGACAAACTCGTGAATCTGAGCAGCTACAATATCCTCAATAACAAAGACCTGATTCTGCAGTATATCCAGAGTGCCACGGAAAAGAAGAGAAAGAGCAGGAGAGGAGGTCTACCCAGCACTTCTAGGGCTGAATATGTGTAGGCGGTATTTCTACATTGTCTGTGAACTAGAGGCTATGATGTTTGGACAATATTTGTGTTACAGGAAGCCCAGCTGATGAGCCATTGCACTATATGAAGTGAAATTTTGCCTGTGTACTTCTTGCCTTGCCTATTTTAACTTACTTTAGCATTAGAAAGGGTTATTAAAAGAAAAATACAATTTGGTGTCCTCAGACTGTGATCTTATTAACTAACAGGGTGGGCCCTGGTCAGCAGTTAGCAGGAGCCCTGCAAAGAAATCCCAAGTGAGTGATTCAGGAAATCATAAAAGCATAGGGTTTCAAGGGACCCAAAGAGTCATCTGGTCCAACTCCCTGCATAAATGCAGGAAATATGCTAATGCTGGTTCAGTAAATACTGAGCTAATGGCTCAACATGGCTGATGCCTAACAAAGAAGCCCTAACCTCTTGCAGTCGGTAATGTCCTGATTTAAAAACATAAGAACTGCCATTTACTGGGTTAGACTATAGGTCAGGGTTGGGCAATGATTTTGGCTGGTGGGCCACTTAATGAGTTTTGGTGTGCTGTCGAGGGCTGCACACACACAATCTTTTAGAAGATATAATTTTAACAAATTATAGATAAAAAAAGGAAATATACTAAAACTCAAACACCTACTACAACATATTTTAATTTTATTTTATAGAAGAATTTTTGTCTTGATTTATGTTTTTTTGAGTAGTGTGTATAGAGGTGACTGCATAATAGCTCAACATAAAGTCTTACTGTTGTGTGTGTAGATGTGTGGGAGAGGGGTGTGTGTGGGGGGGATAGGGGGCGTGAGGGGGAGAGTGGGTGTGTGTGGGAGGCTGCCTGCACACAAGGTCCTGGGAACCAGCTGGGGTAGAGGTGGGAGAGCAGGGTTGTGCGTGCAGCAGAGCTTGCCTGCGTGGTGCAGGTGCAGTCCATGCCACACATCTGGCCTGCAGTTACCCCCATGGAACTCCACATGGGGCTGAGCTCTGCCTGCTCCTGGCCAAGGCAGTCTGTGCCATGTTCCCGCCTGCCCCTGCCTGGGCCTAAGCTACCACACACAGGGCTGCTGCTGCAGTTGCTTGTGTGCTGCTCAGCTTCCTGTGCTTCCAGTGGCTTCTCTTCCTTCTGCTCTGCTGTGTTGCTCCAGACAGCAGGTAGTGTAGAAAAGGGCTGTGGCCTTAGGGACACATGCCCAGCACCATATACCCGGCCAGGTGAGGGAGAAACTGCAGCTGGGTGGCTCCTGCCCCAGCATGTGGGGCTCCAGCTGCAGCTTCAGTTCCAGTTCCCAGCTGTCTTCTACCTACTCCACTACCTGCAGGTGACTACTTATCATGCCAGGTGGCTAGAGTGGGTAGAAGGCAGCTGGTAGCAATGCAGTTAGTTGGTGGGTGCCAGCCTGAAGGCCAGAACCAATCAGTTGGTGGGTTGGATCTGTCCCGTGGGCTGTATTTTGCCCAACCCTACCATAGGTCCATCTTGTCCAGTATCTTGTGGCACACAGTGACAGAGCGGATGCCAAAAAGGAGAATGAACTGGGTATGAAGAGGGTGTTTTTCCACTGTTCCACTCTCACTTGCAGCCTGAAGCATTTAAGGTCTAGGAAGTTCTGATTCAGAGGCTGTACCTCTAAACTCCCATGCTCAAGGGCTCCTGATGCACCTTCGGTCCAAGAATTTGCCCAATCTCTTTTTGAACCTGGTTAAACTCAGTTTTCATGACATCTTGTGGCAATGAGTTCTGTACTTTAATTACATGCTATGTGAAAAAGCATCTCATTGCCACAAGATATTTTTCAGCTTGTGAAAGATGAAACAATCTAGACATGAGGGCTGATTTTCAGAGGGGCTGAGAGCCTCTGAAAGTTAATGGAATCCCAACACTGAAAATCAGGCAATATGGGAGGTGAATATTGTGGCCAATTTCTAATTTGGGTAGCTACACTCTGCCTACCAATATTCCCCTTGAGATTTAGCAGAGAGATTACAGTACTCCTCCTTTCCATTCGCTGAAACAGTCGGGCATAGAAATGCTGTCACATTTCATCCCCAAGGTTCCATTCCATTGGTTCCATTTCAGCGGTGAATGAAATGAGCTGTGACGAGTGAGTACAATTACTTGGAGCTCTTCCAGAAGAAGTATGCAATATTGACTGAGTGATAAAAATGGATGTGAATGCTTTTATTGACTTATTTATATGGGGCATTTATTTGGAATTTACTGGGTCAAGCCGAGTCCTGAAATAAGGCCTGAAATTACAGTATAACATCATCAACTTAACAAGAGCCAGGTCATCTGAACACACAACAAAATTTTTACATATTTAATATTTACAGTGACTGAGACATAAACTAATGTTCTTTCTTTTCTATGCAAACTCAGCTTGGTTTCATATCACAACATTGAGAAAACAGTAGTGCCATTTTCACACATAGGAAGTGTTTCCTCTACAAAGGCACTAACTATAACATGATGTGCCAGGCATTTTTAATAGGTGCTATGGAGAAATGCTTAGTATAACAAAAAATAAAAGAGGAAAATTCTTCTTCACACCTCTTTGCTGAAGAAAACATACAGAACGTGAAATCTGGTTTTCATTTACCCATGAATGCACTGAAAGATGTTACCTTGAACTGGGGGAGTGGGGAGGAGGACAGACTTTATAGCTTGTGCTTTAATAATGTTCCTCAAAAAAGATATTATGGATGATTTCTGAACAGAACTTAAAACATTAAGCTGGTGTAAGGCAGCGTAGCTGAATGCTGCCCCAAAGATGCAGTGCAGACTTGCCTTGGCCAGCAGAACCTTCCCCCCTTATAGCTCACAGTACATAAGCATCTTGATAGTATCACAAGGTGTCCTGGAGCACTAGGGGAGATTTACTCATGTCCATGACATTGCTGGATAGCTTGGCAGGGAGCACAGCACCAGGGTTTTCCACAGCTCCAGAATTATCTCCCAGAAAGTGGGGAGCAGCATTTGCCATCAGAGCTCTCAGCATGGAAACTCCAGTTCCTTCCAATTTTCTTCTGGTTCAGAGCACCTGGATGCTAGGAAATGACTGGTTATTGTTTAATTATCTCTAGGATGATGGTGGAACATGTCTTTGGGCACCTCAAAAGCACATAAAGCTTCCTCCCCTTCTTGAAGATAGGCACCACATTGGTTTTTCCAGTTTTCAGGCACTTTACCAGAGCGCCATGAGTTCTCGATGATCCGTGCCAGGGGCTGAGCTATAATGCTAGCCAGCTCTTTGAGTACCCTGGGGTGTAACCTGTCAGGGCCAGCTGACTTGAAGGTGTCCAGCCTCTTAAGGTGTTCCTTCACAAGGTCAGCAATGATGGAGGGTAAGGAATCATCCTCACCCAGGCGTTCCTGTCCTGTAATGGGCAGTGGCATCCCTTGGAACTGGTGAAAAACCGATGCAAAATACCCATTTAGCAAGTTGGCTTTTTCCTGGACATTGATTGTCAGTTGTCCCATCTGGTTTAGCAGGGGTCCGATGTTGCCCTTGCTTTTCCTCCAGCTCCCCACATATCTAAAAAAGGACTTTTTATTTTCCTTGATACTTGTAGCTAGTTGGAGTTCAGTCGCTTGGCTTTCCTGGTTTGCTCCCTGCAGGTCCGGACCAGTGCAGAATGTTCCTTCTCCTGCCTCCTGGGTGAATGCTCCTAAGCAAAAAGTCACCATCACCATATTTGCTTCCAGCCATCTCTTAAGAAAAGAAAGTGAGGCAGTTACCCATATGCAAGGGGTTGGCTAAGTCTAGGTAAGGGTTTCAGGCTGTGAATCCCATAATAAGGCTGCAGGTAACCCCCTAAACCAAAAGGCAGGACTTCAGGCACATCCTTCTCTCCAGCATTTTTTATGGTCTATTTCAGGTATTTCCCTGTGAAGTGATCTGGCTGTGGTACACCCTACTTCTAGGCATCTAACTTCTCCCATTCACTGTTTAGGGAACACAGGTCACATCTATGCAAGATATTGACTGTGTAGTCATTACTATTACTGTGTAGTCGTTTAGGACTCCTATAAACAAATAGTAGCACTGAAGGATGTCTTTTTCATGATACTACTGCAGTGACATACCGTGGGTCTCTGGCAGACAGGGGCCAATGCTTGCATTTGTGCCCCCCACTTCTCCCCCCGTCCTTCTCATAGCAATACGTAGTCATGTCACGCAATAAGAAGTCTGAAGAGCCCAGCTGGTGCCCCCTCGCCCCCATCCTGCCCCATCCCTTGTTGGTGCGCCACTGCGCTACTGTGCAGTAGTTTAACAGTACTGCACAGTAGCATCATGGGTTTTGTCGCGTGATGCTACTGCGCAGTAGGCTTGTGAGAAGTATTCAGTTTGGATTTGGATTTGTCTGATTCAGAGGACAGTGATTCAATTCAGAGGTTCGGATCACTGTCCTGAATTGATGCTGCCAAATTGGCTTCAGAAGATTCGGTGCCAATTTGGAGAGATTCAGAGATTCAGCCATAGACTATAATTGGGACTCACTGAAATACCTATAACTTTGTCATTTTGTAGCTGATTAGGATTAAAATTGCAGGAATAATAGCCTCTTCTGAGTGCATGAAGACTGCCAAGTTTCAAGGAGAGAGATACGGGTTTCTGGGAAACTGTACCTCAAACTGCTGAAAGCTAAACTCATATCATGTGTGTGTGTTAGGGCAGATTTGGATGAAAACAGCAGGGATGGTAGCCCCACCTCCCTGCTAAGTTTTAAGGAGATAGGTGCAGGGGTTTCTGGGAAACTGCTCCTCAGGCTGCTGACAAGCAAAACTCATGATATGGGTGACACTGTATGTGTTAAGGGGTGCCCTCACTGGCACTGGAGCCTCTACATGACACCATAGTGTGCCCCAATGTGGGCGCCTCCTTCCCTACAGCCTCAGTCTGGCCCACCACTTCAAATTACAACAGGTAAGCAGTGCACTGCAGCACAGTAGCACCAGGAGCATCTCAGGCAGACAAACTGTCACAGAGCCTTTCTTTCCCTTCCTACAGGAGCTTCTTTTCCAGCACCGGCCAGAGAGCTCTCCCTGCCAGCCCCAGGCCTGGGGCTTAGATGTGCCCAGGGCCCTGTGTCCTTCCAGTCAGCTGTAACCTGGGCGGTACTCCAAAAGGTACCCCCTCTCCAATTGAAGGGATCAGAGCAGGTGCACAAGCATTATGGGAGGTGCAGGGACTCTCCTCCCCCTATAGAGCAGAGCCAGACCACCACTGGGGACTTAACCGTATACCTTTTAATGAGGGAACATAACAGGCATATCAGGGTGTATAGTGGACACCACAATGCCCCCAGGGGCAGGATTCAACAAAGGTTAGACACTTACAATCATTGGCAAAAGACAGGGTTAACAAAATATAAAACACAAAACACAAACAACAGAGCAAACAATACTGGCTGGGGAAATATAAAAAGGCACAAAATACAAAATGTCAAAGGACAAAGAAATATAGGGCCTGGGTCACTAGAGGAGGAGAAAGGTGGGAAAACACAGTGGCTCCTGTAAGAAGAATTTCTCCTTGTTAGCTTAGTCACCCCAAGTCATCAAAGCTGGGACTTGAACTCATATCTCCTACACGGTAGGCAAGAACACTGCCACACAGCCGCCCCTACTCCAAGCTCCTAGGGGTCTTGACCTTCCTGGAGCCCCGGCCTCACGTCAAACTGCCCGGCCTCTGATTGGAGGAGCTGGAAGCCAAGCTGGGACCCCTCAGGTCGCTGCTCAGATCCTCCTGCTGGCCACAGCCTCTTGTAGGGGATCCTGGAGCCCAGCAGGATGCCTCTCTTGCCGGCCACACGCTGCACTGCTGAGGGTCCCACTGCTGCCTGCAGGTCCTGCTCCTTCAGGCTTTTCTGGGGCAACTGCTCCCACCCTGCTGGCTCAGCTCTTGCCAGCTCTTTGAAGCTCCTTCCTCGTGGTCCCTTGCTGGTCTCCTCCTGAGTCAGCTGTGCTGCCCCTTTTATCCCCCTCCACGTGACCAAGGGGCCAATCAGGGGACATGAGGGGTGAATCTCTGGACCTGATTGGTGAGGAAAGGGAATCCCAAGTCCTCCAATCATCTTTTACCCCTTCAAAACCCCTGGGCCAAATCATTACCAGATTGGTGAGGAAACAGAATCCCAAGTCCTCCAATCATCTTTTGCCCTTTCAAAACCCCTGGGCTAGGTCACTGCCAGCTAGGCCATCACACAGTTATGCAAGGACAGGTGCTAGGGGTGCTAGTCTAAGGACATGACACTGGCTGACAAGGTCCTTTGGATCCATCTGGTATCTTTCAGTAGACCAACTGAATAGTTACAGAAATATATCTTAGCAAGCTTTTGGGCTGAAAAACCCTTTGTCAAGCTGAGGAAGCACCTGCAGTTGGTGCGTGTGTGTGCTGTTCCTGGATGGAAGGAATAGTAAAGCAGCCCAAGGCTGGCATGCAATGCAGGCAAGAAAGCCAGTCACTGTCACTCAACTCTGTTAAGAGGGCGCTGATCCCAATCTGCCCAAGCAAGGGAGCTTCCCCAAGCAAGGCTGTTGCTTCACCAGCCTCTTGAGCATCAGGTATGTGGAGCTCTACTGAGTCTCTACATCCTGCATGATTTTGTGCTGCAGGATGCTCAGCTCTGCCTGTTTCTCCTGCAGCATCTTGCCCCCCTTGATGCTGTGGTGGAAGTAGCCCACCACCTTCCTGCATTTGGAAATGAGCTGGGTGGTAGTGATGGTGCCATCACCAGCAGCCCTGTCCCTCTCCAAGGCATCCCTGACTATGAGGTGCAGCTTGTGTGCCACAGAGTGGATGCCAACCAAGTTGGCATCATGGATGGCCTTGACCATATTGGCCCTGTTGTCGGTGGCCATGAACCCCTGGGTGAGCTCACCCTGCCCAACGAGCTACCACTGCACCATGTGGTTCATGATCTCCCTTGCCGTGTGGGACTCATCCATCACCTTGGCTGGAAGGAGAGCCCACCAACGGCCTGACTGGTCACACCAGTGCCCTGTGATCTCTGCTTCGGCTGCTTCAGATGTCTGAGGTGAAGTGTAAGGCTACTTGCGGCCCTGCCTTGTGCAGCTCCTCCCTCAAGTACTCCCTGCATGCCTCATACAAGGAGGGCAGCACCGTCCTGCTAAAGGTGGTGCATGCGGGCACTTCGGAGGTTGGGGCCACAAGCGACACAAGCTGCCTAAAACCCTGGCTGCTCAACTAAGGAGAAGGGCTGGCCATCCAGAACAAGCATTTCCCCAATGCTCTGGGTGACTTTTGGCGCCCCGCTTTGTCTGCAGCTTTCCCCCACTGCTCCAGGATGGCCTGCCTCTGCTTTGCGGGGATGGGGGCTTTGCAGTGAGCAGGGAACTTCCCTTTGGGCATGCTTCCACTAACGCCAGGCTGAGAAGGAAGAAGGGCAAGGGGGTGATGCCTCCTCAGATGCAGCAGCATCACCGTGGTGGTGAAGTGTTTCACCTCCTCGCCCTGGCTGATCTACCTTCAGCAGCGCTGGCAAGCAGCATACTTCGGATCATCTGCCACCTCAAAATGATCCCACACTACACTACTCCCCCCCTTCTGGGTTGAGGATGGGAATCTTGCCTTATCCCCCTCCTCAGCAGGCAGAGGCACAACAGGAGGAGCTGACTCAGCTGAGCCACTTTCCTCCACAACCTCCTCTGAGGTGCCTTCCTGACAAGGAGACCTCAGACTAGGGGAACTTTGAGGGGTGTGGAGCACAAACTCACATTCCCCCTCGGTCCCCAGAATTTCTTTAGCTAGGGTGTTCAGGTCCCCTGGTTCCAGATCCAGCTCTTCCTCTGGCAGTGGGAGGCTCACGCTGGGAGATGAAATTGGGGTAGCAGAGACTGTCATTCTGCTGCTGGTGCCTATTTCTGGAGTTAGGGGAAGTGGCGCAGGTGCAGGGACAGGTATTGCTCCTACCTCCTTGCTTCCACTGGCAGCAGAAGACTCATGGCTGCTAGGAAAGAGGGTACATCTGTGTGGGGGAGGAGGACTTGCAGCTCTAGCTCTCCCCCTACCCATTCTCCCTCTCCTGCCAAAAGACCTGGCACTTGCCTTTCCAGCACACTTCATATTAATCTTTCCTGTGCTGGAAAATGTGCCTGTGTGTGTAACTAACTAATAACATAGTCGTCTTCTTCTTCTCTCATGTTTGACTGTGTCTGACTTCTTTTTGTGTTGCGTTTACTGTTGTGCGTGTAACTAAAATCTCTTCTTCAATGACTGTCTGACTTCTGTGTTGTGTTAATCTGAATCTCTATCTGACGTCTTCTTCTGTGTTGTCTTTAGTCTGCCTGCAACTATAACTAATAATAACTAAATATAACCTCTTCTTCTTCTTTTATGAGTGTCTGACTTCTGTGTTGTAATAATATCTGGCTTCTTCTATGATGTATGTCTGTGTAATGTATGTGCTCCCCTGCACAGTGATGGATCACACTGCCAGGGAAAAAACAGCTTAATTTTTTTAAAGTGTTGGAAAAAAACCCAACCAAGAACAATTATAAATTGAAAGAAATGGATTGGATAGGGATAAGTAGAGGGATTCTAGTTAGTAAGCTATATCCAATCCTGTCCAAGAACAGAAAGTAGCAGGGGACTGACTAGATAGGAAGCCAAGCCAGTCCAGTACCTTTCAGATATTGTTGCTCAGGCAGAAACATCTCACAAAAAGCACAGAAAGGCATCGGACAGAGGCTTATATGCTGTTTCTATGTTCCTCCCCCAGAGCACTGTGATTGGAAGGGGACTCAGGGGAAGATCACAGTCACTGGCCAGCTAGAGATGTCAGTCTTCCCCCCCCTGCTCCCCTCCCCTCTTCTCAGTTTCTGTTTCCCTGAAAGACTGCCGCCTTAATCTCCAAATCATTTCTGAATCGATTTGGAGCCTCCAAATTGATTCATAGGGGTTTTTTTCTTTTCCAAATTTGATTTAGATTTGGTGATTTGGTCTCCAACTCAGGCCGAATCTTCTCCAAATCGAATTGTGGACTGAAGCTTCACATACCCCTACTGTGCAGTAGTATCTGGCTACTGTGCAGTCAGTGACTCATATAGATGCGGCCACAGAAGTCTAAACAGCGTTTGTGAATTCCACTCTCAGAACCGGGCTCCTGGGATTTAGGTGCAGGGATGCCTCTT